CTGAGGGTCAGAGGACTCTGCACTAATCCCAGCTGGACCACGGGGTGCCACCGTAATCCTGGTCAAGTCTTCCCCTGGAAACTGAGCCAGGAACAGGCAATATTTCTATTTTATAAAGTGCCTTGAGACCTGCAGACACCTCACCCCTGTGTCCCAGGCTGTGGCACTGATGGGTCTGAGAACCAATGGCCAGTGAAGTACTGTCCCAGAATGGTTTCTGTGAGGAAAGGTTTCACTGCCCTCTTCAACACATCCATGATTCCAAGGCCTTGGTGGAGAGCAGATTGAAAGATTCTGTGATGACAAACCTAACCCAGTGCCATGAATTCAGTTTGGACCAATAGCAGCTGCTTCTCCAGAAAATGCAATTAAATCTAGTGCTGAAAGCTAATAAAAACCCTGGTCTTGGAGGTGTTTCTTCACAGACTTCAGGAGTTTCAGGCTGGAACATTCCCTAAGGCCAGATCTATACTGTTCCCTGCAAATATCATTTTTTTTTTTAATGACCTCAATAATTCTAAGTTATTTCACTAGCCATATCCATTAATGTTAAGTCTATTTTCCAAAATTGTACCATAACCTTGGCCTCAGGTGCATCTTGAAGCAGAGTTCTATAGGTTGCATGGAAAATTGCTGGAATTAGAGGGTTGCTTTCCATGTAAAATATTGGAACTGAGGGAACCAAGTTTAGAATGTGCTATTGGATGTTAGACAGGAAGCTTAACAAGACCATATCATTTGCTGGACCATTGAGGCTGGACCAGATGACCCCACTGGTGATTCCAATCCCCACAAATCAACAACCTATGAAAAAAGAAAACAACCAAATACTATGCAAAACCTATAAAAAAAGCTTGAAAAATCTCACTAAGTAAGTTCAAATAACGCATAAATTAGAAGGAATTGCAACTGGTTCATGGATATTCTATGAGCAGAAGATAAACATCTAAGTTAGTTGCATAAATTATTCATCTTAACATATTTGTTCAGCTTTTCTCATCAGCTGGGAAAGCCACACATTCCAAGCATAGGGAGAGCATAATAGAACTGGGCTTTCACCTCACTGCTATGTCCTGGGAGCAGGAAGTCCAGGGGAGGGATGGCATGAATGAGAACTGAGTGGGAAAAATCTCCCTCACCATCCTGCTTTAGATGTGGATTCTCCTCAGGGCTCACTGACTGTATGAATGGGAACTGGAGTTACCCCTTGGCAGCAGGAAAGGTTGAAGATGTGACAGTGACTTCTTTTAAACTCCTGCTTTTGCCTCCTGTCTGTGGTGTCACAAGGTGATGTTGGACCTGATGTAAAAAATGAACCCACTTTCCCTCTGAACATGTTTTCTGCTGGATTTTCATTCTCCTTTCCTACCTTCTCCCACCTTCGTTGCCCATTGCTTTCCAATCTGTGCTCCCAGTTTGCACTGTCTGTCTCCACACAGTGATGGAGACAATCTGAGGATTTGGGGGTTGATATATCACGGAATCCTAGAATGATTTGGCTTGGATGGGACCCTAAAGCTCATCTTGTTCCAGCCTCTGCCGTGGGCAGGGACACCTTTCACTATCCCAGGTTGCTCCAAGCCCTGTCCAACCTGGCCTTGGACACTTCCAGGGATGGAGCAGCCACAGGTTCCCTGAAGGAGAATCTGACCAGTTGCCTGTTTCAACTTCTATGATTTTTACTGTTAAATTATCTATTCCAAAGCAACAAAACCAAATTCACTGTACTTTATTGAGGAACATGAAGCATTTATCCAGCCCCTTCTGAAAACATTTACCCAGCCCTTGCTGGCTCTGGGGGTTCTCTGGTCCCTCCTGATTTTATTGATGCTGCAGGAAGCAGAAATCTGAGAGCAAACATGTGCTTGAGTTTTACAGGAAGCAATAATCCTCTCTTTAAAGAGGAAGCACAGATGGCATTTTTCCTCTGCTCCCTGGTTATGATCTTTATGATGGGAACACGGGCATCTCTATTTATTGTAAAACTTTGATTGTCTTTTAGTATCCAGCTCTGCCTCTTCCCATGCAGTGCAACTGCTGGAGGGACCATTCCTTCTTCAAAGGGGATTTCCTTGTGTAGTGAGCTCTGGGATTGCAACTCTAGTCTGGAATGATTAGAGCAACCTCTCTGTAGTGACAGAGAGAAACGATTTGTCTTTATATTTAAGGTTTTATCTATTATTAAAATCAACTGTGAGACCTGCAAGCACTGGACTTTTACACAGTTCTGGGACAGCAGGGAAAACACTCTTCTCCATACAGGGAATATATGGGTATTTGTTGTATATTTGTTATCTGCAGACAACTTTGGAGACAATGACCTGGTTCTGTCCCTCCTGGTATTAATACCCTAGTTAACAGGTTTATTTTGGGTTGAGTTTGGAGGTTTTTTGGCCTTTTGACTGAGGTTTTTCCAGGAAAGGTGGATGTTTCTGTGGATTTCAAGGTCTGACATTAATGACTAATAATGTAGTAAGAGGTGTGTTTTGTTTTGGCATTTTGACTTGGCTTGTGGAAGCCTGGAAGCTGCAGAGGGGACATTATCTCAGGTGTAAGGAGTATTTTGAAGTAAATAGCTGGCACTTTGCTGTTTTAATGGATACAACTGCTGTTAGGCAGCATGGGGTGTTGTGGTGGGGCTCAATCAAAATAAATACATGTATAATTGCATTAAGTCAAATAACCTCACACACATAGGGTGGACTGGCTGTAGAATCAACCTGGGCAAAAAAAGATTTGCTTTGTGATCCTGGCTTTGCAACTAAGCCTCTGAAATCTGCCTGCATGTGGGGTGCTCTGCCAGCCAAGTGGGACTGTCATGCAGGTTGACACGCACTGATAGGAAGTACTGTGTCAGTGCCAGGTGTTGTCAGTCCTGTTGTGCTGGTTTTGACTGGATGTTATGGATTATTGCATAAAAAAACCAATATTTCGACCCCAGGATCCTGCTGGGAATGTCAAGTCTGACTGAAGTTTTCCAATTAGTCTTTTATTAGTTCTTAGGTTACAGCTGGAGCTGAGTCCCTCCAGAGAGGGACCCCTACCCCAGTTCATACCTGTATCACCATCACCCAATCCTCAAGTCTGACCCCAAGTCCAGTCACTTCATTCTGGTCGGTGGTCTCTTGATTTCTCATGGTTTTTCACTGTCACTGGGCTGGCCTTCTTCTGAAGTTACTTCTTTCTCTTGGAATTGTCTCCTTGGAATTATCTTCATTCCACTCCTATCAGCTAAATTCAGCTAGTTCCTTGTTAGCAGCATTAATTTCCCCAAAGAAGTTTACTCTTGGTCAGGGGAAAGCTTCAGCTGCTTTAGCTGCTAATGCTGAGCCACTAATGCTAAACAAGGCCATTCACAGAGAACACAGTTAATCAAATTTCTTCTGTGGCACTGGGAGAAAGTTAAATTTTGTATATAGTAGTTGGTGTGGGGCTGTGTTTTGGATTTGTGTTGGAAACAGCGCTGATCACACCGGGATGTTTTAGCTACGGCTGAGCAGTGCAGGGATTGTCTGCCCCTCATCCCACCCCACCAGTGAACAGGTTGGGATGCACAAGGACCTCCAGGGGGGACACGGATGGGACATCTGACCCCAGGGATGTCCCACATCATGTGGCCTCATGCTCAGCACACAAACTTGGGGAAGAAAGAGGAAGGGAAGATGTGCAGAGTGATGGTGTTTGTCTTCCCCAGTCACCGTGACGGAGCCCTGCTGTCCTGGGCATGGCTGAACACCTGCCTGTGATGGGAAGTAGGGAATGAATTCCTTCTTTTGCTTTGCTTGTCTGTGCACCTTTTCTTTAACCTGTTAACCTGCTTTTATCTCAACCCACAAGTTCTCTCACTTTTATCCTTCCAACCCTTTCCCCCATCCCAGCACTGGGCAGTGACCAAGCACATGAGTGGGGCTGAGTTGTCAGCTGGGGTTAAACCACAACACCCTTAATCTAAATAAAATTTTTGTCCTAAACCCAAGCTACAGGACTAAGTGAATGAGAAGTGACAGAGAAGCTCATGAGTTGATGATCTGGGAGGCAGCTGAAGATAGAGCAGGTGCATTGTAGGAGAGTAGGCATGAAAAATATCCTTTGCTTTTAAGAAGGCCTTGCTCAATATGTTTTGAAGGACATTAATAGGTTTCTCATTTTTCAGGTGCTCAGCTGGTGATGTGTTTCAGAGGCCTGATTTTTAGATTGCAGGTGTGCAAGCTTTTCTCCAGGCATTTCCCTCTGTCGTTTCAAAATGGATACCTGCAATAAAGAGCTGCTTTTGCAAACATTAACTTTATATTTTTTTCCCCCCAGTTGCTCTCAGTTTGAAAGCATGGATTTGAGAATCACTTTATTTGGTTGTTGTTTTTTTTTTTTTTAAGACAAACAAACAAAACCTCCACTTTCATCCTGGCCTCTGCTTATATCAGCATCGATCCTTTTACATGGTTTATCTCAAAAATTGGTTTTCAAAATGATCTTTTGCTGTACTCCTGGTGCTGAAAGACTGAGATGTTTGGAGAAAATGTGTTTCCTTCAGCTCTGCTTTGCCAAAGGAAGGCTTGTGGGCAATAGGGATATAACAATGATCAGATTGGGCAAGACCTGTGTTCTAACTGACCAGCTCTTCTGCTGACAGAGACCAGAATTTGCTGCTTTATGGAGAAGTGTAAAACCCCAAAGTGTGTGATGGTGAAAGGACCTGCCTGCTTTTGTTGTAGGGAAATCCAGCTCTCTTCCAGACAACTCTGGAGACTCCAAGGCCACCTCCTCATCAGCCCACACCCTGATCCTCCAAGTGGGTTGTTACTGTGCAGTAATGTCTCACTTTTCCTCTTCTCCTCCTCCTTTCACCCTGCCTAAACTTGTGGCCTCACGTGTGTGTACCCATGTGGGGGTGTCCAACAGGATTGTCCCCTTCTCCACCCTCCTTCCCTGCCCTGGGTGGCTCTCCCTGCCCCTCCAGACTGGAATCCTCACCCCTGCTGTGTTCCTGTGTTGTCACCCAGGGAGTTTGCCCGTTGGAAGGTGAGGAACACAGCCATCGAGAGGAGGGACCTGCTCCACAACCCACTGCCCCTCATGCCTGAGTTCCAGAGGAGCATCCGCCTCCTGGGCAGGAGACCCACCACGCAGCAGTTCATCGATACCATCATCAAAAAGTACGGCACCCACATCCTCATCTCTGCCACCCTGGGAGGTAGGTGCCAACCTGGGCTGTGTTCTGATGGGGGTGGTGGGGTGGTGGTGGGGTGGGGAAGGCACTGGACAGCACCGCAAATGTGTCCAGTTTTGGACCCCCCAGTGAAAGAGAGACTTGGAACTCCTGGAACAAGTCCAGCAGAGGCTGCGAAGATGATGAAGGGGCTGGAACATCTCTCTTATGAGGAAAGACTGAGGAAGTTGGGCCTGTTCAGCCTTGAGGAGAGACACTGAGAGGAGAGCCCATCCACGTGTGTCAGTGTCTGCAGGGAGGGGGCAGAAGATGGAGGAGGCTTTGCTCAGGGGTGCCCAGCAATGGACAGGGACTGATGCCCAGGAAGTTCCATGTGAACATGAGGAAGAACTTCTTTGCTGTGCAGTGACCCAGCACTGGACAGGCTGCCCAGAGAGGGTGTGGAGTCTTCCTCACTGGAGACACTCTGGAACCACTCTGGAGACACTCTGGAACCACTGTGCCATGTGCTCTGGGTTGATCCTGCTTGGGATGGAGGTTGGACCAGATGACCCCACTGTGGTCCCTTCCAACCTGAACCACTCTGCAATTCCCAAACCATGGCCATGACGTGTGGGAGCTGCCTGGGGACACAGGGCCAGGATGCAGCTCATTGTCAGACACTGTGAAAGTCCCCAAGAGTATGAAAGAATTCACAGCACAGGGTGTGAGTTCAGCACCTGTGCTCTGTGTGTACCTGTGCCCCCCTGACAGCAGCGTGGGTGTGCCCATGTGTGCCAGGAGAAACACGTGCCACTCAGCCCAGGAACCTGGCTGCCAGCCCTGTGCCACTGCCCTTACCTTGACAATAGAGTGTGTCAATCCCTCTTTTTCACAGACTGAAACCAAACACAAGGGAAAAAACATCCTTTCTTGCTGGAATTAGAGGAATTTTAAGGAGCTCCAGGAAAAGGGAGGTCAAGGAGTTGGGCAGAGAGGAAGAGATGGCCAAGGAAAAACATCCTTTCTTGCTAGAACTGGAGGAATTTTAAAGAGCTCCAGGAAAAGGGAGGTCAAGGAGCTGGGCAGGGAGCAGGAGCAGAGAGGAAGAGATGGCTGAGAAGGCCTGTGCTGGATGCACAAGTAACATGGAGTAGGCTTTTGAAAAAGCAGCAGTTAAGTAAAATTCAAAATGTGTAGGGAAGGGCTGCAGAGAGGTCTGTGTGTGCACACAGAATATGTCAGTGATGACATCAGAGAGAGAACTGTAGGGCCATGAACCCCTGAGCAGGGACTGCTGCATAAACATTCTGAGTGATGAGTACTGAACATGGGAAGAGTGAAAATCAGCAGCTCCTATTGATATTTGCTGCTGAATTTTTTTTTTCTTCTCCTGTATTATTTTTACTATTCCTTTACCCTCCTGGGTTGTGCCTTTCTTTCATTTAAATGCCTTTCTTCTGAGAGCAATTCTCTCTAAGCAGGATTCTGCAGTGGTAGAGGCTCTTAATTTTAGCACAGAGTGTGTTTTGTTGCTTTTTCTAACGTACCTCACCTCCAGCCTTGCCACACTGTGAAGCTTGTGGTGAACTTTGAGGAATTTCTGGCCATCTGTCTGTTCCCAAAGCACTCTGCAGACACTGGGATGAGAGAGAGATGAGATTAGATGTGTGCATATGATTCATGCACAAATTAGGTGGTAGGTAAGTTGGCTCAGTTCCACTGAAGTCAAATGGCCTCTGGTGTGGCAATGTCCTTCAAAGATCCTCGGGCTGCTCTTCCAGTCCAGGCACTCAAACAGTCCATTCCATCAGCAAGAAATGTGGGAGGAAGAAGGTTTCCAAGCACTGAAGAGTACAAGTGACTGCCTGCATCAGGCCTTAATGAAGTCTGTGTAAAGATAAACTGCTTTTTATTGAGGAAATTGCTTTCCAGGACCATGTTTTACAGAGCCCAAGACAGCCAAGGAAAGTGAGATATTTTTTTTCTGGGTTTACTGTTCTTTCCATTGACGTGCCTCTTTCTTCCTGCCACTCACATCTGTGGAAATTTGAAATAACAAAGACCTTTGATGGTAAAATATATTTTTAATTTTGCCTGGGTGAGGTTGTAAATTATTCACAGGGGCTTGTTTCCCCTCCTGATTTTACAACACAACTATCTTAAATATGCAGAGACTTGTAAGGAGAACTGGTGTTTGAGGGGAGAGCTAAATGCTCCACCAGCCCAGAGCATGGTGAGCAATGGCAGGGGAGAAAAGAAAGATTTATGCTGGCAATGGCAGTCCCAGGGTAGATGCAGAGGAAGCTGGGCATGCATTATGCACAGAGGACACACTCTGATCACAGTCTGTGGGCTAAACAAGACCACTGGGATATAAAACCAGACATGTCCTGGCACACTTGCTCTCCCAAGACCTCTGAAAAGTTGCAGGCGTTCTGCCCTGGGTTACAGTTGTTTCTAACTCCGCCTGATGTCTCATTATGTTGCAAACGAGTGACAAACACACAGGAAATTGTTTGCCTTTTAAACGCCAGCTGTCGCAGGGCCCCCGGGGGGGGGGGGGGGGGGGGGGGATGGCTCAGCCCGGCCAACCTGAACACAGCAGCTCTTTTCACACGTGGCCACACGAGGAACTGCTCTGCTGCCTCTTAACCTACCGAGCATCCCCCCAGAGCCCAGGAAAAACCTGGCCCTGCTCCGGTTTAGTTCTGACGACGGGATTGGTGAAAGGGTCACTTTGAGGGGCACCCCTGCTCTGGGATGGAGCACACAGAGCCAATTTGCAGGGAAAGCCCTAAAGGAAAAACAACTTGGAACACAGCACCCGCTTAATAAAAGAGAAATTAAGACTTAATAATGCAGGAAAAGTCTGTTAACCTCTCTCGATCGAAGAGTTGCTTTCCCATGTGCCCCCTCCCTGGGCATGCTGTTCTTTTCCAGGGCTGCACTCAGCCACATGGAATAGGCTTCCAGCAGCAGTGTTTCTGCTCAGCACCCTCCACTCCCAGGGACTGTACTCATCCCTCACAAGAGCACCATATCTCATGGGCTTTACTTTTGTTTTCTTCCTCAGGGAGGAAAAAAGATGACCGCTTTCGAGGGGAAATCGCTGATCCCCACTGCCCTAGAGCACAGGATTCTGTTCTCTATTGAGTTTCTCAGGGCTTGATTTGTGTTGTCCAGGGACCAAAGCTAATGGTGGATCTCCTGGTCATGTGGCACTACTGCTACTGCCTGATGTGATCCAATCCTGATTCCTGGCCTCAGCATTCCTGTAGTGAAAATGGACTAGACTGGAATGAAAAGGTCCTGATTTTTGTGCTTTGGCTAGTAATAAAGGCATGCTTTTTTTCCAGAAAAAGCTGTTTTTTACAATTACTGGCAGAATCAATGAAGAGATGGTGGCTGGATCCATCAAGTTCCTCTGGGAATCACAGCTAAGGGGACAATTATCCCAGGCCTTCCTTCTCCTGTCACAACCTCATTTCTGCCTGCTGCATCTCCATGCAGTTAAACACTTCTGTTACATGAGATACAAAACTTTTAGCTCAAAATACACTCTCACACTGATCCAGCCCCTTGTCCAACTACCATGCAGTGTCCTTTTGGTGGCAAAAGGGTTCCTCGTGAAGACTGACCAAACAAAACCTCAAATCCCCTTGAGAAACTCACCCAAAAGATGAAACCCTAGAATGCCTCGATGGCATCAGGCACCTGGGATGCAGTGTGGGCTGTTCCTCACACTGATCCCAGTGTGGCTTTGCTACCTTCACCTGTTGTGCCTCATCAGATACAGGGGTTTAAATTCTCTGGAACATGGACTATCTTTCTGTTTGTGTGGATGGAGCCTGATGTGGCAGAGCCTTGATCCCTGCCAAGGGCTCCTCACGTGCTCGACACATAATAACATTGATGGTGGTAAAGGAAATCAAAGCTGCTCGTTTTCTGGGGAAAGTGTTTCTTGTGAGCAGCAACAATGATGATGCTGTCACCACCACAACTTTGATCATACTCAAAGGACAGTCTGTTATTCTTAACAAAATATTAAAGGGAAAGTTTTATGTGCTAAACTTCTCCACTTAGCTGCTGTGAAGCCAATTAGAAGATTACAACTAATCAATTCTTTCCATGAAAAGTATCTTCTTTCCTACAAAAAAGTGTCCATTTTTCATCTCAAAACCAAAGGCTGAATCCTCAACGTAACTATTTGTTGAAAAAACTGAAATCTGACGAAAATATTTTGATTTTCAGCCAGAATATTTTTGGTTTGTTTTCAGGCATTTTGCTTCCAGATAAAAGCTGGACAATTTCCAGGGAAAGAGAGGGGGAGGGCTTAGTGGGGTTATTGGTTTTTTTTTTTTTCATTTATGCAATTAAAGAAATAATTTGGAAGAATCAAACAATTTCAACTAATAAGAATTTTAAAGAAAAGTAAATCCTTGTTCTCTTAAAAAAATTATGCAAAGATGATGAAGAACAAACTATTTCTTGGCCTTAGAAATGGTCATACATTTTTTTTTTTTTGACCATGCTATCATTGCTAGAGGCAGTGGATTCATCAGTGGTTCATCTATTGAGTCAGAACAGGTACCATTCTTCTCATTAACAGAGTTATGTAAAAATGGCACATTCCTACCATAGTTGCCTCTGCATTTATTAAAATCAGAGCTTCACATGTCAAGGGTGCAGGATGGCATTTCACCTTTTTTAGCCCTCTTTTAGTACCAACCTTATGTTAAGAATGAACTGGGTTTTTATCTGGTTCGTCGAGCACAAATTGAACTTTTAGGTAAATATTACTCCTCGGCTTCATATACTTTTCAGATGTATTTTGTTACATTCAGGTTTCTACTGATGTTTATCAGTTCTTAACTGCTTCACTCCCAGATTCCCTGTGGTTACTGACACAAAATCATCTGTTGTCCCTCACCTTGTACAGTGTTTTTCACTCTCTGCTTAAATTCCCTGAACGAGACTCTGGGAAAGAAAGCAGAAAGTGTGGTTAGTTTAAATTAAGTTTCTTGTTTGCTCTTTCCTCTGATTGCTCCCCTTCACTCATTCCCTTTCTTTTTCCTTTTTGCGTCATCTCTGGAAGCTGAAGAGGCACAACTAGCATTTGTTTGTCCTCTGTACCCACCTACACAACTACCTCCTATTTCCAGTCATTATTTATTCCTTCTAAAAATCAGCTCAGACAGAGACTTGTATAAAAGTGTCATCTTCCCCTGTCAGGAGCATCGTTCTAGAGGCACCACACACAGAGAAAATGTTCCTCGAGTGGGATAAATGGTCTGAAACCTCTCCAGCACTTGTGGTAATGCTCTGCTGGCTAATAAATGCCCAAAATGTTGACTACTGAATTCAATGGAGCTGATCTACCAGTGTGGTGGACCTGGGCTTTCTGTCTGAATAGAGAAGACTCACACATATCACACTGGGGCTCTGGTGCTGGTGAGGAAGGGCTGATTCCTTCAGGAGCGTTTTTGGTGTCAGACAGTTCTTTCTTTAGGTGCAACAGATGACACCATTTGTTCCTGTTGAGGTGACCCTGCCTGGCAGCCTGAAATCTGCTTTTCTTTCTGCTGCAGGAGAGGAGGCCTTGACCATGTACATGGACAAAAGCCGCCTCGACAGGAAGTCAGGGAATGCCACGCAGAGCGTTGAAGCCTTGCACCAGCTCGCCTCCTCCTACTTTGTGGACCGTGATGGCACCATGAGGAGACTCCATGAGATCCAGATCTCTACCGGAGCAATCAAGGTACTCTGTCTTGCCTTAGGAAGAGAAATATTGTGTGCCCACACTGACACTGCAGGGATCTGCCAGCCCGGTGTGATGTCTTTTTTAAGGATCACAAGTTGTTTTGTTCCCAGGGTAAATTTTTCTCTTATGGACCTTACTGAAGAATTGATTTCCCCAAGGCCAGTAATATATCCAGTAATATCCAGAGAGAGGTGGGCACTCAGTGTGATGGTTATGTAGGATGTAACCACTCCACTATATGTAGGATATATCACTCCACTAAACATGATAGTGACTTCTGGAAGGGAGAGAGGGAGCAGAGAACCCAGATCAGTGATGGAGGTTGGAAGGGAAAGGTAGGTCTGTGAAATGAACAACCCCGTGCAACCCAGAAGTATTTTTCTCTTGTGGGTGTAAGACTGCTAAACATCTCTGAGCTGAATTTACTACAAGGAAAGGCGAAAAACTCTGTGTGGCATTACTGAGGCATCTGGAATGAAACGGACTGAGAGACAGCTTGGGGGTTGCAGCAGGAAGGAAGGGAAGCTGCTCAGAGAATACAAAATAGGGAAAATGGCTCTGTAGACAAAGGCTGCCTTCTCTGAAAGCAATCATCCTACACTGGGCAGGGATTTTATTGTTGCAGAGTTCACTCCAGGGAAGGTGATGTGGATGGAGTCGTCATTGTTAGCCATTTCTGAAAGGTTTCAGCTCTCGTTATTGTTCTGTGGTGTCTCATGGCTGAGCCTGTTCCCTTCTGGATGGGAAATTGTATTGAGATATTGAAACAGTGACAGCAGATAATCACCCATGGTGAATTCAGGAAGGGCAGCTCTCCTCCATGGCTGGAAACCAACAGCAACAGCACCACAGGTCATCTGTGCCTCCATCTATCCTCAGCACAAGCATGGTATCCACATATGGGAGTGCCAGGCGCCACTGGGGGCTGGCAATCCATCTCTGTTTCTTGCTTTCCAATAAGAGAAGCCAGGGAATAATTCCTCTGCTGGCTTCTGATGTTCTCCAGTGGAGATCCTCTATGAGAAGCATCAATCTGCAGGATCCCTTTGCCAAGCCCAGAGTAACGAGCAGCACCATAAAGAAAGCAGGCACGTTTCATTCTGCTTTTCCAGCCTGTGAGTGCACCAAACATCAGCTGTGTCTGTCCAGGGTAGGGCATTTTTCCCCAGTTAGGGAAGATGTGTTTTGGGTTGTATCAGCTGGTGACAAGGAGTCTTTGTGCTCCAAGGTCTGAAGAAGTCTGGGGAAGGTGTGGTGCTGCAGTCAAAGGGAACACTCTCTCTTTTCTGCATCCTCTGTAGGTAACAGAAACTCGGACCGGCCCCCTGGGCTGTAACAGCTACGACAATCTGGACTCTGTGAGTTCTGTCCTTCTGCAAAGCACTGAGAGCAAACTCCACCTGCAAGGTAGGGCTCAGGAATGAGGGATGTGGCAACAAGGGGCATGGAGTGGGGGGCTGAAATGAGACAGGGGTGCCCTTCTTCCCAGCCTTTCCCCTTCTCTGCTGTGATTCTGCCTTGGCTGTTAGTTCCCTGGAGCAGGACTGGTGGCTTCTGGAGGCTTCACAGGATGCTCAGCAGAGCAGAGCCAGAGCTTGACAAGAACTGAGCTAAAGGGACCCCAGTGAAGTATCTGCGTACCCCTGCCATTGAATTTTCATGGAATTCTGTGTATTATACATACACTAATACAAAAAAAAAGTGACCTTTTCCATCAATATTGAAGGAGCATTGTGCCCATGTCTCTTTGTCCCTCCCAAATTGCTGATTTGTGTAAGAGCTTTGCAGATCAGCTTTTGGGACTTTCTAATGACCGTAATCTTTGGGAAAAGTCACTGAGGTTTTATTTGGATGCTAGAAGCCATGGCTTCAGTCCCAGCTGGGGAGCTAGTCCAAAAGTCAACAGATAGAGGTCATGACTGAATTAATAAATAAATACATGCTGGTTAGCAAGAAGTCAACTTCAGTAGAAGGAGGAAATTCACTGGGCGTGTAATTTATGAAGGTTATTCCCAAATTTTTGACAAAATAAGGAAATGTGGGATTTAATTGCTCACTTGCCCAGATGGTTTTATTTCTGGAATCCTTGTACTTGCACAAATTTTAATTTTTCAGATGAATGGGCTACATTACATCTTCCGCTTTGAGTATAATTTGGCAAGTGCTGTTTTAATCTTTGGTTTCACAGAAACTGGGTTTCATTTACTGAGTAATGTTGTGGATATATTATTATTGTTGTTATTATTTGCCTTTAAAAATAATAGGCAGGTTGTTTTCTCTCTTCCAGTGATTATCCAAACCACTGAGTTCTGGTTCTTACTTAATTAACAATAAGCAATTTGAGAGGGTTTGTGTACTCTGATGGTGGCTGCTGGTAATGAAAACCCAAGGATGACACATCAGATAACTGGGTAAACAGCTAAATCAGCAGGCAGCTTGGGTTATAGGCAGAGAAGCAGGTAAATCAATAGACCTCTATTGGCTATGTGATCCTACAGGAGAGGACATAAACCAAGGGAGGGGGAAGGAGGTGGAGGAAGAGGGAAAAATTAGGAGAGAGAGAGGATGTAAGGTGGATGAGGCTGTGATTTCTGATGGGAGCAGAGAGAGGACCTTGGGGGTCAAGCACATGTGGGTTTTTTGGAGCTTCACAGCATAACCCGGTGCAGACAGAGCCCAGAGCCAAGCAAGGGACAGAGCAAGGGAAAGGAGGCAGGAGCTCTTTCTAATAGAACAAAGTGACCTTTAAAGCTACACCTGAGCTTTCCAGCTGATCTGGAGTGCGATTCTTGGGATAATTACCCAGGATCCTTCCTCTGCTCTGAGAAGGCTCATTAGGAATTAGTCACAGGGCTGCAGCAGGTAATGGATCGTGACCGAGTCCCCTCTGATCTGATTAGCAGCCGAGCATGAGCTGCTGACAGAAATCCATGTTCCTGCCTTGGTGTCACTCAGCTCTGAGCCTGGCTCAATAAAAGAGCAGCTTCTTCATGACAGGGAGAGTTTCTGTTCCTGAACTTGCTGCTGCCCAGCCCTGAGAGTCGTGGTGTCAAAACCATGCCCTTTAGGGGATGCAACATCCAGGACATGGCACTCAGTGCTCTGCTCTGGGTGACAAGGTGGTGATGGGTCAAAGGTTGGACTTGATGAGCTTGGAGGTCTTTTCCAACCCAAATGATTCCACGATTTTATGAACCAAAGCTAAGTTACCTTCATGCCTGCACAAAGGGTTTGGGAGGGTGAGCCAGCCTGGAGCTTCCAGGGGAGGAGAGTGCAGGGTGTTTGGTTCTGCACCTGTGGTTATCGGGACAGAAATAATCCCTAATTTGTAAACCAGTATCCATGTGAACCCAGTGTGTTTGTACATGCACTGGGGTGCATATATACAATATTGATCACAGATCACAGAAGGTTTCACTTTTTCCTATCCCTCCCTGGACTAAGATCCCTGTCCTGTGTGTGAGGAGGGCTGTGTGGTGATGCAGCCTCCCAACATGGCACTGAGGAATCCTGTGTTGGGCCAGGATCTCACAGGGGACTCTAATTGTTTGCACTTTGTATCCTCCTCTCCCTCAGCTGCCTCCACATCCATGGATGATCCACAAGCTGCCTGGAAAAGGAGACCACCAGAGCATGGGAGGGGAGGATTCCAGCAGCTCTACAGCAGGCTGGTGGGAAATGGGAATTTGAGATCCCAGGACAAGTGTCCGAGGCTGAAATTGGAAAATTTGAGGGGGAAAAAGGAATATTTTCAAAAGACTCAGGAAACTAAAATTCCAGAGACATCCCCTGTTATATCAATATTGTTATTGACAGTATATGTTAATATTGGAGCATTGCACTGTTTCAATGAGGTAAAATCCTTCTGTGCTATTCTAAACTTTGCAACATTAAGCAGGAAATATTGCATATTAGGTAGTTTCTTACATCAAATATGGTAATATAATACCATACATAATATATAATGTTATGTACAATAACTATACAATATTAAACATATTACCATATTTAATATTATATTACAATATATGTATAAATGCCATATATATTATATATATATAAATATACATAGAAATCTATTACATGTCTTTATAATATATATGGTAATATAATATTAGAATTTACATTACAATTACTATTAGAGCTTTTGCCAAGATGGGCAGAACAGTAATGACAAACATTTCAGCTTTGCAGTGAAGCGAGATGAGGAAGTATGAAAAAAATACATTTAGAAAGTCAAAAGTGCTTTTGGAGTCAACATGCTCTCACAAAATGCTTCAATGAAACTGCATTTTCAACAGAGAACTCTTCTGTGGAAAATGTTTCAAATAGCTCTAATTTAGAGCTGGGGAAATTTACCTCTTTTAATGCAGGAAGCCTTTTATATACAGTCTAAAGGCAAACATCTCTCTTTAATAGTTTTTCTAGGTGAATTAAGGACATGTTCCCTTGTCAGACACTTCATATTCTGCCTGTAGTTATCCAAGACAAACCTATACCAAATCTGGGCTGCTCTTAATTTTGAAGGAGGAACTTTTTGCTTCATAGAGTTGCAGAATTCCTCCTGAACAATATCTTCAAAACTAAGATATTCTGCCTAATGCTGGTCACCAGCAAACTTCCCTTCTGCATCTATTTTCTGCTCCAGAGCCTCTGCTGGGGATGAGCCCATTCCTTGTGTCCCCTGGCTTGGATTGAGGGATTCTCCCCATGGAAATGGTCCAGTATCTCAGTCTTTAAGACCAGATTGACCCCCTGTTTGGCTGCTGACATGAGGTTGCTTTAGCAGCAGGCAAGGCTCAAAGATTAAGGTTGGACTCGATGATCTCGGAGGTCTTTTCCAACCCGGCTGATTCTATGATTCTATGGCTGAATGTAATTTTTTTTTTTAGCATTTGCAACATTCAAAGACATTTCCTGGAGAACAAAACAGCATTTCTGGGGTGGTTTATTAAGGTCATGGTTGACAGAGGGCTTTCCCAGCTACCATGGCCAGCTGCAAGCTGCTCTGTGGGGCTGGTGTGCTGTCATAGTCCTTGGGACTGCAGCTTTCCTGCTTCACAGGTGGCAACTGAAACACCCACAGCAGTGATCTGAAAAGATTAATCCTGACAACGAAATCCACTAAATTTCAGCAATATTTAGTCACTGGGCACAGTAGAGAAATATATACAAACTGTGAGGGTGCCAGGACTGAGGGAGATGCTGCTGGCACAGTGCTTGTAAAACATCTTGCTAAGATCTAGTCACTAGGATGCTCCACACTAAACCAAAAATATTGATATCTGCCCTTGTCTGGATATGATGAGAAATGTGTGAATATTTATATATATATATGGAAAAGCAGGCACAGCTGTATTTCCTGACACTGATTTCTTTCACAAGGAAATTCCTGGCCTGGAAGATCCGAGTCACATGGAATCCTTACAGCATGTTTGTAGTTTTAAAATCAGGGTTTTGTGTTTGGACTATGCACACTCATGTCCCAGTGAGCAGCTGGATTTGTGTGTCACTTTTGTAAGAACATATCTGAGTATGTGCTGTGTGTTAAAGCTCCAGGTAATGGTGGATTCCAGCAAAACTGCTTCCCTGATTAAGTTAAGCATTTATATAAGTGCTTTGTTGAACTGGTGCTAAGTGTACAGGGCTCTGATTACCTCTTAAACACGAGATTATTTCTTACAAGAGGAGGTTATTCTGGAAACGTTTTTTTTTTTTTTTTAGAAGCCAGAAGTTTTATAGGCAAAAAGCAAGCACCCATATGAGGCACTGCAGTGTAGGATGGGACCACATTATGTTCTGGAGATTACAGAATATTCATGTTTCTGCATGTGCTGAGATGCACAGTGGATGTTCCTTGCAATGGGAAATGCTTTCCCTGAAATTTTAGTTGCTTTTTTTCAACCCTATTACCTCACAAAAAAAAAAAAAAAAAAGAAAAAAAAGAAAAAAAAGAAAAAAATCTCCAAAGCCAGGATCATTTCTAGCTGGGACCAAACAGCTTGTCATGCTGTTATCCAAGTTAAAATTCAAAGAGAAAATATGTGAAGTGAAGAGCCTGAGGGTCATTTGGTCATATTCAAATGGTGAGGCCAGAGCAGGTTGCTCCTCTGGGAAGCAGAGTGGAAAAATGTATTCATGGGACTTGAACCATGAATAAAGAGTCAGTGCACATCAAGAAGTCCAGCCCCACTCTCCTGTGAGCTTGAAAGCTCAGTGAGTGCAGCAGCCTTCAGGCTCTCCAAGCCTCTTTTGTGGATCAGTTCTCCAACAGCACAGCACACTCCTTCCATTCTGAAGGAAAGTTTTGGATCCTGGCAGGTGGGACCATCTCTAATGTCAGTATGATGGTTTGACAAGGGACCATCTCTCTATGGTGTTTGCTTCACATAATTCATAGAATCGTAGAATGGCCTGGGTTGGAAGGGACCTTAAAGATCTTCTCATTCCAACACCCCCTGCCATGAGCAGGGACACCTTCCACTAGCCCAGGTTGCTCCAAGCTCTGTCCAGCCTGGCTTTGAATATTTCCAGGGATGGGGCAGCCACAGCTTCTCTGGGAAACCTGTGCCAGGGCCTCATCGCCCTCACAGGGAAGAATTTCTCCCTAATATCCATTCTAAACCTACTCTCTTTTGATTTAAAGCCACTCCACCTTGTCCTATCACTAAAATCCCAAAAAGAGGCTGATCTTCAGGACTTCCTGAAGACAGCAGGAAGAAAGATGAGCTTCTTGCTGAGAAACATCTCAGAAAAGACCAAGGGGACCTCAAAATGCTGATCTTCCTTCAGCCAGTTTTGAGGTGTTTGCGGGGATGCTGTAGACAGGTCAGCTCTTTGTTCCCTCCTGTCCCAAATACCACCATAGGAAAGGCAGCAGGATCTGTGCAAACACAGTGCCTCCAAAGACGAGGCTTGAAATCCTTCCTGTGCCAGTGTCACAAACATCTTCCCCAGCTGGAGGGAGCTCTGTGCTCATCCTGCCCAGCAGCTGCCACTGCTCCGCTCTCAGCTGCCAACGGGGTCAGAGAGAGGGGCAGCTCGGTGCCACCAGGCATGGTGCTCCCAGAGCCCAGGGGGAGAGGAAACACAGGTCCCTGTGTGCCTTCCACAGCCTCCTGATCCTCCCAAAATCTGCTCTTCCACAGGGACCTCATCAAGGCTGAGGTGTCTCTCTGGATCCAAAAGCAAAAGGGTAATGGGGGTCCCGGGGTCGCTGCCCGCTGCTTTCCTCTTGTCTGAGGTGAACACGGCCCATCAGAGATGGGCCTGAGCTCCTGAAAGGGGTCATGGCCCTTTTTGCCATTCCTGCACACTCTCATCCCCTGAATTATTGTGTGATTTCCCTTCCACTGGGCTGAGCTGTCAGCCATGCACACGGTAACTCAGCGCAGCAGAACCACAAACAGATGGGTAATTGACCCGCGCGCCTTCATCACTGCCGAGCTCAGTGCTGCTGTTCAGGCCATAAACTCCTTTAGCTGCCACTCCAAAATCCCTGGGCCTTCACAAGGAAGCAAGCTGGCCAGGCTCGGAGTTATTGTCATCTGCCTCGTGCACCACAGACGCTGAGAGAGTCTGACAGGCAGGACTTGCCAGGTAGAAGAAAACAGCTGTGAATCCTCAGGGAGATCCGTAGGGAGCTGGGAGGAGGACAGGGTGGAAAAACATGTACACTGTACACAGGGCAAACACTTAAACTGTTAATATGTCCTCTGATGTCTGAGCAAGGGTACACTTACACTAATGCCTGCACAGATGGGTGGGTACAAAAACACTGGCAGTGGAGAAAGGGATAAATCTCCCTGCTAATGTAAATCTTCAGAGCACCACTGAAATCACTGGCACTAAATCCATTTGCACTTTTATAGGATTTGGCAAGTAGCCTTCCTAGCAGGGAGCGAGCTGCAAAGGCTCAGGTAGCCAGCTTCTGTATTTATGCTGTGGGAGCTGGGCACTTAACTCTGCAAGGGTCTTTTATAAATCCCTCCCTGGGTTATTTTCCTTTCTTCTGTTTTCCGTTCTTTCTTATTTTCTTTTTCAGTGCGTAGTTTCCTTGTTTCTGTGGTACCAAACCCATTTAGTCTCTCTCAAAACAGGTCAGGACTGCAAAATGCTCATCACTTCTGAACTAGCACTTGGTTTCAGGGGACAAAAGACCCCACACCTGGAAATAAGGGAGGCTTTGCTTTCAGGGGCTTTGTACTGTTACTGGGATCTGGGAATGGGATGAAGGGAGTAGACTGGGTGTTGGGGAGGGGGAAGTTACTTGTCTCGCTGCTCTCAGCTAACTCATTACTTGCACTGGAAACATGCAATTTGTACCCCATCTTCCTTACTCATGACAGCCCCAAGATAAATACCCCAGCAGCTTTTAATTCCTCAGCATCACTTTCCCAAGCTGTCAACAAAACAGGTTTTGAAATGAAGAACAAATACCTGAACTGACTTCTTAATTTATTTTTTTCACCCCCGCATCTCTCTTGTTTCCCTGCCAGGTCTCCAGATCATCTTCCCTCAGTATTTACAAGAGAAGTTTGTCCAGTCTGCCTTGAGTTACATCATGTGCAACGGGGAGGGCGAGTACATCTGCCGGGACAGCCAGTGCGGCTGCCAGTGCTCTGAGGAGTTCCCCCAGTGCAACTGCCCCATCACCGACATCCAGATCATGGAGTACACCCTGGCAAACATGGCCAAGACCTGGACAGAAGCCTATAAAGATCTGGAGAATTCAGGTAACTGAGCAAAGTTCATTTTCCAGTTAATTTACTGCAAAACAAAATGTGTCAGATTATACCAAGTAAGAATTTCCCTCTCTCTCCCTCTCTCTCTCTCTTATATTCTCTCAATATAATGCTCCAGCTTGCATAAAAAAATAGAAAATGCTGAACCCAAACCCATGGTCTTAGTCTTAAGGGAGTACCTTTTTCCCCCCTATTAAACACACGCACGGACAAGAACACAGACCACACAGATTTACAGGAATATTTTCCACGGAACTATTTGATTAAAAATCTGATTTTTGTTTTCATACCAAACCAGCTCTGAATCTCACTTTTAATAGTTCTACAGAGAAATTTCCACAGTATAAATGATGCAGAAGTTGCTTTTCGGATTTGCATGAATGATTTATTCTGCTTTGGTGAAAGGCAATTCAGAGAGGGAAGGTACCAGCCAGATGACACCGCATTTGAGACTGACAGGAGAAGGGAAAATGACTTCTCTCTCCTACAGGGCTGATATTTGCTGGGGGGGACATTTCTCTTCTTCCTCCACTTTCTCCCAGGGTGAGGCTGGGGTGGTCAGCAGAGTTTGTTCCACATTGATGCTGGTGGTTGTAGTAGTATTGACCTATAATAGTGCTGTGGTACTCGTGGGATGCTCACCCTCAAGGGCTTGAGATAGGAAAGAGCAACATCATCAGTGAATTGCATCCTTTCCTTTAGCAAGTGATCTGCCTACCCTGAAGCCACACAGGACTAAGCAGAACTTCGTCAAGAACTTGTCCCTGTGCTGACTCTCATCCCTTGGTGCTAACCAGTTACCTTCCAACACATTTTCTTCAATAATTATTGCCATAACTGTCCAGGTCTCCATGTCAGGAAAGAAAATTGTGAGGAAAGGACCATCTAGCTCAACTCAAGGCACTGAAGAATTCTTCTTCACAAGTTCTCATAACAGCAATTTCTTTCTTCCATCTTGAAGGTCACTTTAATCCCTTTAATGGTTGGAATGGAGCAGGCTATGACGTTTCCACTTCAACATGTGGACCCTGCTGGTGTCTCTGCTGTTGCACAGATTCCTGTGTCCCACTCACGTTGTCAAATTGGTGTCCAGCTGGGCAGAATCAATCATAGTTCATGGCCCCAGAGTGATGATCATCTTGACAAGATCCTCCCACGTACCCTGGGGAGCACAGGGCTGGGGCAGTCCCAGAAGCAGGTCATGAGCTGAAAAAGTCAGATATTTTCTTAGGGTTTCTATGGATTCATGGATGGGATGGCAAATTAGAAATGTGGATTTCAGAACCTTCTGCCCCCTCAATCCTACACAAGTCAGACTTACTGGCAGTAGCTGCCAGCACAGCTCTGCCACTGGTTACGTGGTTACCAGTTGTTAGTTCTGGCACAGGATCTTCCCACGAGATGCTCAAGAGCCACAGGTTGGCCACCAACCATCAACCCCTTCACCTTCCAGGTGTAACCCAGGCACTGAGAAGGTGAGAGCCCTATGGAGGGAGGAGTTACAGCCCCCCTGTGACTCCTTCACTGTGACATTCTGTCCTTGTTGCACTCGATCCAAAGCAAAGATTGGGGTAGATAATTATATTCAATCTTCCTCCTCATGAGATTTCAAGGGGGGGGAAGGTATTTTTCATTTGCCAGGTTAAAGCGACACCCTGCAGTGCAATTTCTGCTCTAGCCATATTCCACCCAGGGCTGGAGGTTTTGCAGGGCTAGATGGAGTGATTATCTTTATGTCTGAAGCTGCTGCGTCTCATTCATCACTTTGTTGCATCATGCGTGAACTTATCCTCTGAGATGAAAGTTGCTATCACAAAAGACTGTAGTATTAGTGTTTTGCTTCTTTGTTTTAATAAATATTCCCAATAACTAGAGGATTTTCTTCATTATGAACAGCAGAGGAGAAATCTCTGATGACATCCGAAGGCTTTTCCAATAAAGTGGACTGAAAGGCACACGAGTGCTCTGAAAGCAAACACCGTTTGCACAGGAAGCTGGTGATAGCCTAAAACATTTGTGTTCTGCTTCTGGGCTGTGTTGGATCCTCTGTTAATCTGGAAAAAAAATCGTGCAGGGCAAATCAAGAGTCGGTGTGGTTTGGGAAAGCGTCTTCAAAGTCAAGGAGGCTGCAGTGAACTGATGCTGCTTTGAATCAGCTCAGAGGTTTTTAGCCCTGTGCTTCATTGCTCCTGCGCAGACTGAGAACAATAACACTGCCCTATTCTTGGCATTTTAATGTGGCTGGCCAAAACAATTCTGTGATTCTGAATCTAAAAAAAAAAACAAACCCCTTTTGATCAAGTCATGAGGTGGGGTTTTATTTGTTTGTTTCTTTTTTGTTTTTATTTTTTTCCAAGAATATTGCTTTCTGAGGAAAATGGGATTTTTTATTTTTTTTTTAACACTGGAAAAATGAAAGTTTCATTTTTGAAAGAGATGTCTGACATATAAATTCACTGTGGTGCCACCCCTCTGCTGCAGAGGCTGGACACTGTCCTGTTCCACATGTGATGCTGAGTCATTGCCATGGGATTCCCTGCAGAGACTGACTCAGCAAAAAAGAGGGGCCAAGCAGCATCATGGGAGGTGTAGTCCCAGCCATCACCAACATTTTCTGTGCAGAGAACTAAAACAACAACAAATGCAAACAGATCTATTGGTTAATTGGAAATTCTCAGGGTTAAGAATTAACTATTCTCAAAAATAGGGAATATCCCCATCCATACTCTTGGTTTTTGGGCACATTTATAAAGTTTATACATAAATAATGAAGAAACTATCCTGCTTTGAAAGTAGTTTTGTTTTTTTTTTGTTTTGTTTTGTTTTTTCTCTCATCCCCTTTTATTTTAAACAACCCCATCCAGCTTTTATTTGGCCAGATTTGCTGCTCATTTGTTTTTCCCCCAGCGTTGCACTGCGGTAGCGAAATGTGCACACTGCACCGAAATTCCTGCCTTGCCCGTCTCGATGAAAAATGTAGCACATTCATCATCAGAGGGAAAAGAGCTCGGGCTCCTGCACAAACAGGCTTTTGAGGGAATTGATTTATAAGGGGTGGGAAGCAAATGCAAGGCTTTTACTGCTGAAAGGTACCCGGAGTAATCAGCACGGTCAACAGGAGCAATTAGACGTGGTGATGGTTCCAGAGGACCACTGAGCAGGGGAGAAGCGATTTTGGGGAGGAGAAGGGCACTGAAAGCAACATTAAAAATAGAGTGAAAACCTGAGGGATGATTAAAAAAACCAAACCTCGAAGTTATCTTTGGAGGAGACAAGCAGATGTCCCACGGATGTCGGTGGTGCAATGATGATGATTATTTTTGTGAGGTGCTCGGTTCCACCATGTGATGAGTAGGATGGGAACATCCATTTCCCATCTATGTGGTGCTGGTACTGACTAATGCCCTGATACTCCTTGTTAGGCAGTTAAGCATGAACTGCAAGTTGATGAATAACAGGAAATCTGTTATGCCAATATCTTTAACTTTGTACTATAGGGTGTAAATTGTCTGGTCTGATTTTCTCCAATAATTCTATGGATTATTTCTTTTCATTGCAAAGGTATCAGCCTTTACAAACTCTCCTTTTTGCCCCTTTTTTTTTTTTCTGTTGTCCTCTTTTCTTTCTGAAAATGGGATGAAGGAATTAAAAAAAGAAAAGGTCTGGGAAAGGATGAAAAAATAACATAGATAGGAAGAGATGGCTGCATGTCTTGTTGGCTACTTTGTGAAGTTTAGGGCAGGTTTTTAGTCTAACCTCCCTCTAGAAGCAGGACTACAACCAGCACTAGGTCAGGTCAGTCATGGGTTTGTCTAGCAGAGTCTAAAATGGGATTTTTACACACCTCTGATCAGCATGTTCCAGTGCTGCATTACCTCCAAATGATGAAGTTTTTCAGTGAATCATTTTAACTTCTCAAGTTGCAAACTCTTCCTCTTGTTATATCATCTGTCTGTAATAAGAGGAATTTCTCTCCTTTGTATTTGTAAGTACCTTCTGAGCAGTTGCAGGCTGTAATTAGAATATCCCTTGGCCTCTTCTTCACCAAGTTAAACAAGTGCAGCCCCCCCCCACGTGACTTTGCAGGATTTGTGCTCCCTTGAGCATCTCGGGGTCCCTCAGCTCTGCTTTCCCAGTTTCTCTACTCCCCTTTCTGTCCCTAAAGCTGGCAGAGAAATGCAGGTGCAGCCTCAGTAGTCCCAAACCAAAAAGAGGGGAATATTGATTTCCCAAAAAAACTGGGTCCAGCCCAGTTTGCAGTTTATTTCCAGAGAGAACATAGTGTTGACCCACCTTCAGCATGGAGCCCACCAAACCCCAGGACCTTTCTAGCAGCTGTTTTATTCCACACCTCTACCGACACATGGGATTGTTCTCTCCTGGTGCACTTAGTTATCTTTTTTTTCCTTTTCCTTTTCCTTTTCCTTTTCCTTTTCCTTTTCCTTTTCCTTTTCCTTTTCCTTTTCCT